CTTATTCTTCATTTCTGTACAGAGTTGTGACCACAGTGTATTTGTAGCTAGGTGATTTACTGCCAGAAACACAGGCAATCTTTGGATACAAACAGAACTTCAATATCTCCCTCTGCACCATTCTGTTCTCCACGCTGAGCAAACAGGTTTTGCGTTACCCCTCCATCATTGTCACCATGGTGCTCTACTCCATTGACTCTGAGCATTTTCCAACATGCAGCTATCACAATTAGAAACACTGGATTCAATTACTAAAACATGTATTTCTGAGCAGTTCTTTACTTAGAAAAATTGTAGATGAGCCAGCTCGAATGTATTATCATTCTCTTTTCCTTTGTGCTCAAGAGACCACTAATTGGTCACTGCACGATTAAACACAGAAAGGGATCAGTTCCAAAAATAACGCAGAGTGAGGTATTAAGGAGTGTGTGCCTTTATAGAAACCTGAAATATCTGTCAAACAAAGAGATAATATATGACTCATTCTTTTATTTAATCTTTTCTTGGCTATTCATTCATCCAAGAGGTCCAGTGTTTTAATCAAATTGTCTCCACCAAGAATATCCTTTTTCTTTTACAGTGGAAGATTCCCCAAGCTTGCAGATATTGGGGCTTAAAGGAATTCCAGGATCTGGAGAGAGGATGATTTGGAAGGTAGGGACATGAAACTATATCTTTTCTTTCCACGGAATCAGAGCTCCCCTTACTGCAGGTTTGGGGCTGGGTTGGATTCTTTCTGAACCGATTAGCTCATCCCTAATTGTTTTCGCTAAGCCTGCCAAGCAACAGAGCTGACAAATACTGTAAATATAAACACCCTCTTTTGCTAATTTACTGACTCATGCACAAATCCGCTTGTTGTTAATCCACGAGTGTCACAAAACTCTTGACTCTGATCCTTGTGGAAAATCCGGGCAGTATTCCAACAGTTAGTCCAGTGCTGACATTAGCATTTCCAGTTGCAAATTGTGAACAGGCACAGAATATGTCTCCAAATCATGTTATTTTACAGAATATTGATCATTTTAGGGCTTTTTCCTCTATAAAAGTTATATTTGTTTTTAGACTCTTGCACTTTTGTCAGTAAAATAAAGTATATTTTGATAATACCAGTAGATTGAGAACATATGATCAGTTAGTGTCATGATACTAGGATCAACCATTCTTTTTTTGGCATGTGGCAGAGATAGGCCAGTGACAATATTCCAAGCTCAGCAGCACAGGTTAAGTCACAAAGATGTTATGTTACAATTGCATGTGACTTATTTCAGTCTCTACCATTTCTTTTTTAATATTCTTAGGGTGTGGTTTTTAAAGATATTCAATCAATGGGAGTTAGGCCCCCAAAAACCTTTAAAACCTGGTCCTGTATGTGCAAAAGGAATTAGGTGTTGCGATGCTGCGCCTCACAATGCCTAACTGTTAGGTGCTTAGAAAATCACTGTGATTCACAAAGCCTGATTTAGGCTCCCTATATAATGAATAGGGAGAAAGAGGCCGCCTATTGCCATTTAAAAAAGCCAGCGTGCTAGGCAGGGAGCCGCCTAAGCTAACCAATGGGAAATGCTGCTGACAGGGATACGTGCTAAACCTGCCCCTGATTTGGAGATATGTGCCTATCTCTGCTTGGGATTCTCAACTGCAAACCCTCTCTTGGCATTAGGTGCCTACCATGGGTGGTGTATGAGCCCCCCTTCGGGGAGGCTAGCCACAGGGCCCCACCCCTTCCACCCAAGGCCCCGCCCCAAATCGACCAGAGTCCTAAGCGCCCTCCATCTACTGGAGCATTGAGTCCCCCCATGGCCAGAGGAGCCCTGATCAAACTGCACCGGGCCACCCTCAGAGCCAGGCTGCTGGGCTGTCCCCAGCGCTGGGCCATTGGCTGGTCTCAATGCTGGCTCCAGGGCTGGGCTGATGGGCCATCTCCAGTGCCAGGCTGCCAGCTGGCCTCAGCATCGGCCCCAGCGCCAGCCCGGGCCCACTGACCTCTGCCTGGAAGCAGAGCTGAGCTCTCAGTCCCACCGGCTTGGGCACCAGCTTGGGGGAGAGGGCAGAGTATGGGTGGGGCCAAGGCTTGGCTTAGGGGAGGCATAGCTTCCCTTGGCCTATTATATCCGCTGCCCATGGTGCCTATACCATTTTAGTGAAAAGGAGGAAGACTTCGCTCATAACTTTTAACCCCATGGTTAAGGTACTCATCCAGGAAGTGGAAGACCCTAGTTCAAGTTCACCTTGCCTGAGGAGGAGAAGGGTTTGAACAGGGCTCTGCCAGGTATCAGGTAAATACTCTAACCCCTGGGCTATGGGATAATGTGATACGGGGGCTTTCTCAGTCTCTCCTGTTGAAGATAATACACTCCGGGTAAACAATTATAGAGTCATTGAAAGACAGGGGCTGGACTCTGAGCTTTCTACCTCCTAGGTGAGTGCTCTGTTCACGGGGCTACAGTCGTTCTCATGCTTGTGCTGTCTCTCTCTTACTCTCCCCAATGACTCTTCATTTGTGGAAGAACCTCCCCAACTCCTACACTAATTGAAAAGAGCTGGGCTTGGTTTAAGAATGCACTTCAGAAGAGGGGCGGTATACAAACCAGGACTGTGAGTCATAATAGAGCTGCTTTGAGGTCTCTACTGTAGCCCAAGGATAGCAATTGCATATGCTGCATTTGCACCTCTGCTCTGTAGCGTCCAACGGCCAATAGATCCATCAAACTTGCCCCATTTTCTCTCTTTACCCCTGCATGATTGAATGCAGGGTGTTGCCATGGAGCTGGATTAGGAGTGTACACATCTCCCACAAGTGTGGATGCTGTGGAACTTCGCCTGTTACGTGACAGGCAGGGTCCTTCTCTTGCTACAGAGGGACAGTTTTTACAGTTGCCGCATAGAGATTTTGAACCAAGTTCTGCTATTAAACATATGCAGCCACCATTCAGTGTGGGTTGGGCATGTGTAACTGCGGATAGAAGTTTGCTCTTTCTGGCTTCCAATATTGTAGCAGCTGGTTGTCCAGAAGTGTCTCTGATATCAGCATCAGTGCAGTATATCTTTTGCTGTTTCGGGTTGATAAAACCCATTTATAAAAATTAATTACAGCAAAGACAACATTGTTTTCTACGTAAGAAAATACATCAGTTTATCCTGTTTTTATAATGGCACATGGTTCATTGCTACCAGCCATGTACCACCTGTGTAAATACAGTGGAATCAAAATAATATTTTAATATGTGAAGTTGGGATGGGGGGGAGTTCTCCTGTCTTTCAGGATTTGATTTTAATTGAACCTGCCTGGGCAGCACTGGAAGCCACACCCTACTTAGCAACAGTTGCTAAGTAGAATAAGCTTTACAAAAAATGCTGCTACTGTTGGCACAGAGACCTGTGCTGTCCAGGTGGCTAGGGTCTAAAGGATCCCTCCTCTTATCTCATGGAGGGAAACTGACTCACAATTATACAGAGGAGGGAGTGGCATGCTTTCAAGTCAGCAATTGTGTTGGAATTGGAAAAGGGAGACTCAAGAAGATTGGGTTTAGAAATAGGGAGACAAAAGCTCAGCATGAGGAGGGAGTTAAGCACCTAGCAACCTTGGCCACCAGTGAAAAAAAACCCCACAGCAGCAGAAGTGATCCGCCTGCAAAGTACTGCATGTGAACCAAAGAACATGCCACGTCTTTTCCATCATCTCCTCTTGAGAACAGTAGGGACAACCCAGTGTGCCGTTCAGCTTTGCTTCTCTCAGTAAAACAGATTCCGGTGTTCAAAGTAGTGCTGCATACACAGGGCCATCTAAGGTAATGAGGTTACACGGGTACAAGTCAGGGCATTCTGCCTGTTCCATTTACTTGTACACAGTCTTTGCTCTCTTCTCTTCTCACATTGGTCAGCAGTATTCTCTTGTGTTTAGTTTCCTTACTTTACATATACAGATGCTATAAATAACACTAATAATTTTTATGATTAGTTCCTCCTCTTCCTGCTAATCCCAATTCCTGGGTAGCCCTCTAATGATCTAATCCTTCCAAAATTATATTGTCTTCACCATGAATAAAAGAGAAATGTCACTTTCTCCTTTAGGTGCTCTAACTTTGGTGGGTGTATTTACTGTAACTAATTAACTTTAATTACTTTTGCAATTGCAACTTATTTGACAGAATTTTCCACTGACTGCACAAAACATCTGTCTTGTTGGGAATGTACATTTTCTCTGATCTACATATAGTACTCTACTAAAATATGGTAACATATGTAGTCCATTAGTCTATAAAGCAATAGGCAAGCAGAGCTCCTATAGGGACTCAATGAATTTCCACTCTTACATCTGTTCTTTTGCCTTTCAGGTTGGGGGCGAAGTTGAGACATTTTCTCACTTAATTTAATGGTCTAATAATTAGATCAGTGGTTCCCAAACTGGGGTTCATGAACCCCTGGGGGTTTGTGAAATGTTACAGGGGGTTCTCAGGAAAAAATTCCCTAATGGTGGACAGAGCTGTCCCTAGGAACCCTGGGCAGCACGGGGCCAGCAGCCCGGAGCCCCTGGACTCCCAAGAGCTAAGCAGATCAAAGCAAGCATATCTATCACACCGAGCAGATTTAAACTTCAAGACTTCTTATAAGAAATGGAAAGGGAGGTGGATATTTTTTGCTGTTTTTAAAATTAAATAGGCAGCTAGTATTGTTTTTAAAATTATTATGAAGAACAAGTTTAAAGCTTTGTTGTAACGTGCGTTGTTTGCCTGGACTGCTCAAGACCTGAATGCTTGTGTAGGAGGAACTCTTTGAGTTGGCTTCTTAAATACCTTCATGCTGTTTCACATCTGATACTCCTTGATGAAACATAGGACCCTTGTCTTATAACAGGCTTATTCAAAGTGATACAAGCTACGAAAGTGAGATCTTGGAACAGTGTTGCCGTTTTCATAATGTAATAAAAATACTGTAATGATAAATAATAATTAATAATGTGTAATTAGCATGTCATAAAAACAAATTTTATATTTCCAAGATCACTGCTTTTATAATTTATACTCAGGTAAAGGAGAAAATCCCTGGAAATATTCATTTTTAGGAGGGGGTTCACGAGACTTGACATTTTAGTGAAAGGGGTTCACGGGTTGTTAAAGTTTGGGAACCACTGAATTAGATGTAACAATCCACTTACTACTTGACTTGCTTTGTGTTTCCTTCAGAGGCTACATAATGCCAGTGCTTCATTCTGAGCAGAGGTTTCCCGGCTGTTGTTTGTTGACAGACTGTACAATTATGCTTCATTGAAATCACCCTCATAATAACAAGGTCTCTATTTAATGCCTGGTTCCTAATGACAATGTTACAAGGAGGATTCAGCAATTCTTGGAGCTCTGGCAATGTTATCTGGTTGCCAGATCAGATGAATGATGGGTAATTATTTATAGTGAAGAAGTTAGGAGCAATGGTTAAAATATGGCCTAATCTAGTGAACTGCTGGGCACGGACATCTTGGTGTTGCAAAATCAGGTATCTACTCAACTGAGAGTACAAGCAATAACAAACTGCCAGTGCTGTTATTCACAATTATTACACTCACACACACACACATGCGCACACACACACACACACTTATATTGCCATCCCGTGTGAATTTTAGAGGGTGTCCCTTTAAAAGATGACTGTTGTTA